GTACTTTCTTTCAAGATGTAGAAAAAATATTTTCTTTCATTTCAACAAAACGAGTATTTTCTTTTCATGATATAGAAAAAAGTAATATCTTTCATTTCAACAAACTAAGCATTTTCTCTTCCTGAAATAGAAAAAGTATTTTTTTTAACAAAAAAGTACTTTCTTTTAAGATGTAGAAAAAATATTTTCTTTCATTTCAACATAACTAGTACTTTCTTTTCATGTTATAGAAAAAGTAATTTCTTTCATTTGAACAAAAGGAGTACTTTCTTTTCATGATATAGAAAAAGTATTTTCTTTCATTTCAGCAAATTAAGTATTTTCTTCATGAAATAGAAAAAGAATTTTTTTTTTCCAATAAAATGAGCACTTTCTTTTCAAGATGTAAGAAAAGTATTTTATTTCATTTAAAAAAAAGGTACTTTATTTTCATGATGGAGAAAAATTATTTTCTTTCATTTCAACAAACTAAGTAGTTTCTTCTTGAAATAGAAAATATATATTTTTTCAACAAAATGAGCACTTTCTTTTCAAGATGTAGAAAAAGTATTTTCTTTTATTTGAAAAAAGGTACTTTCTTTTCATGTTGTATAGAAAGTATTTTTTTTTTTCATTTCAACAAACTGCATATTTTTTTTTTATGATGTAGAAAAAGTATTTTCTTTCATTCAACAAAATGAGTAATTTATTTTCATGTTGTAGAAAGGATATTTTTTTCAACAAAATAAAATATTTTCTTTTTAGTTATCGAGCTCAAATTTCAACGTTGTTCTTCTGTGAAAAAATAAAGTAGCACATTAGTGTAAATTTTGAAAAGAATAAGTAAATTATTAAAGAATATAGAGTTGGGGGGGGGAGTTGTGAGGTATAAGAAACATGGGGATTTTTGGGGAAGATGGGTTGAGGAGAGTAGCATAAAAAATTATTTTCCTAAAAGTATTTTATACTCTCTAACCAAACACTAGAAATTATTTTTCGGAAAAAACTTTTTACTCACCAACCAAACAAGGGAAAATAAGTGATAACAATAACAACATACCCAGTAATATCCCACACCGTGGGGTCTAAGGAGGGTAGTGTGTACGCAGACCTTACCCCTACCTTGTGAGGATAGAGAGGATGTTTTCAATAGACCCTCGACTTAGGAAAGCATAAGCACCACATTAATGAAAATATAGACAAGAAGGGACAGTACCATTAAGCCTTATAAAAACTGAATAAAAACAACCAGATAGTAAGGTGATCAACAATGAAAGAAAACAACGGTTAGTCATAAAAATATACTACCAATAGAAAGTGAGACTGCGTGCCAATACTACTGTTATGAAGACTCTAGACTATCTACTCTACTACCCTAATCCTCGACCTCAATACCTTCCTATCAAGGGTCATGTCCTCGGTTAGCTGAAGTTACGCCATGTCTTGCCTAATCACCTCCCCCCACCTCTTATTTGTCCTATCTCTACCTCTCCGTAAGCCCTCCAATATCAACCTTTCACACCTCATCACCGGGACATCTGTGCTCCTCCTCCTCACATGACCAAACCACCTAAGTCGCGCTTCCTGCATCTTGTCCTCAATAGGGGCCACACTCACCTTGTCGCCAATAACTTCATTTTTGATCCTATCTAACCTGGTGTACCGTCACATCCATCTCAACATTCTCATCTCGGTTACCTTCATCTTCTGGACATGAGCGATCTTGACTGGGAAACACTCCGCCCCATACAACATCGTTGGTCTGACTACCACTATGTAGAACTTACCCTTAAGTTTCGGTGGCACCTTTTTGTCATACAAAACACCGGAAGCGAGTCTCCATTTCATCCATCCCGCCCCAATACGATGTGTGATATTTTCATCAATCTCCCCATCCCCCTTAATAATAGACCCAATGTACTTAAAGCTCCCTCTCCTAGGGATGACCTGTGAGTCCAGCCTCACCTCCCCTTCCCCTCCTTGAGTCTCGCCACAGAACTTCCACTCCAAGTATTTTGTCTTGGTCCTGCTCAACTTGAAACCTTTAGATCCCAGGGTCTGTTTCCATTCCTCTAATTGTGCGTTCGCACTGTCTTGCGGCTTGTCAATCAATACAATATCAACTGCAAATAGCATGCACCACGGCACCTCCCCTTGGATGTAGCGCGTCGGTACATCCATCACCAGAGCAAACAAAAAGGGGTTGAGTGCCGACCCCTGATGCAACTCCATCATCATCAAAAAAAGGGTCCGAGTCCCCAACCACCGTTCTCACTCGGGTCTTTACTCCATCATACATGTCCTTAATCAACCTAACGTAGGCAACAGGTACACCTCTAGCCTCCAAATATCTCCATAAAATCTCTCTCGGAACTTTATCGTACGCCTTTTCCAAGTCGATAAACACCATATGCAAGTCATTCTTTCTCTCTATACTGCTCTATCATTCTCCTAACAAGGTGGATGACTTCTGTAGTCAAACGCCTCAACATAAACCCAAACCGGTTCTCAGAAATAGACACACTCATCCTCACTCTTAGCTCTACCACACTCTCCCAAACTTTCATAGTATGGCTAAACAGCTTGATACCTAGATAGTTATTGCAATTTTGGAAAATAAGTGATAAAATCAACGACAAAGGGCCAAATATACCCCTCTACTTCGAAAATGGTCTAAGAATACCCCTCGTTATACTATTGAGTTATCTATACCCCTATAGTCATACTTTGGGTTCAAATATACCCCTTATTTAAACGGAGGGACACGTGACATCGTCCTGTTGGGCAATTCTAAATATCTCCTAATTAATTAAAAAACCCATTATCCATACCCGAAAAATAATTTTTTTTTGTAAAAACTGGAAAAAACCAAAAAATTGATTTTTACTAAAAAATGAAAAAAAACGAAAATATTATTTTTTCCAGTTTTTACAAAAAACCTGCTTTAGAAAAAAACTAAAAAATATTTTCTAAAATAATATTTTTGTAAAAACTGAAAAAAGCTGAAAATCAATTTTCTAAAGCAATTTATTTTTGTAAAAACTCGAAAAACTGAATTGTTTTTTACTAAAAACTAAAAAAAAACGAAAAAATGGTTTTTCCACTTTTTACAAAACAACTGCTTTAAAAAAAGTTGAAAAATATTTTTTAAAACAATATTTTTGTAAAAACTGAAAAAAAAATTGAAAAGCAATTTTCTAAAGCAATGTTTTTGTAAAAACTGAAAAAACGGTTTTTTTTTTTAGTTAAAACTATTTCATTTTTTTCCAATTTTTAATTGCTTTAGAAAATTGCTTTTCAGTTTTGTTTTTAGTTTTTACAAAAATATTATTTTAGAAAATATTTTTCAGTTTTTTTAAAGCAGTGTTTTTGTAAAAATTAGAAACAAAAAATATTTTCCTTTTTTCAGTTTTTAGTAAATTTTTGTTTTTAGTTTTTTCCAGTTTTTACAACAAAAGAAAATTATTTTTCGGGTATGGATAATTGGTCTTTTTAATTAATTAGGAGATATTTAGAATTGACCAACAGGACGATAACACGTGTCCTTCCGTTTAAATAAGGGGTATATTTGAATCCAAAGTATGACTGTAGGGGTATAGATAACCCAATAGTATAACGAAGGGTATTCTTAAACTATTTTTGAAAGTAGAGGTGTATATTTGGCCCTTTGCCGTAAAATCAATCATTTTTCAGGAAAACATTTCGTACCAAACACACCCTAAGTATCCTGAATTTGGAAATTCAGGATCTGCTAATTTGAAATTCAGGACTAAGTATCCTGAATTTCTGAACTACTAATTTAAAATTCAGGACATAAGATTCGAAATTCTGGACATAATTTTCCAACTTTAGGATACATTGTCCTGAAATTTGAACTATGAGGTTTAAACTCTAGTACGCTATGTCCGGAAGTTTGAGCAAAAATTGACTAATCTTTAAATGTATCGTAAACTGTGGATATATTTTAAACAGAATACTTAAAAGTGGCTATCTAGTGTCATTTCCACTTTCTATTCCAATAAAACATTCTCAAAATGGAAATACCAGATTTGAAGTTGACAACTGGAAGGGCTTTCCCCCAATTAACTTAATCCAAGCGAGGCAAGCTGGAATGAATCAAAAGTTAGCTACAATTTGCAGGTTGATGATAGTTGTAATAAATAAAAGAAACAGAGAATGGCGTTATTTGTTGATATATAGTGGTTGATGCGTAACTTTTGTTTCTTTGTTTGGTTTCTTTTTTCTGCAATTATCACCAGCCATAATTTAATAAGGTTCATTCCCTCGAGAAAGAAATACCTAAAAAGAATTCTGTCCATCACGTAAAAGGGACTTGTAACTACCGTGCTTAACCAAGAGAAGACATTGTGCTATATTTATGGTTTCTCACTTTAATTTCTAATTCAGAAATTAATTTCTTATTTAGAAATAGCTCGATAGAGTTGGTGTTGCTTCACCTCATTCATATCTGGAATTCGGCACTTTCGGCTTTTTTCAGTTTTTGGATCGATCGCCTAAACTAATTGAACTCTCTTGTCCTATTCTCGTTAAGAGATTTTTTTTTGTTGGGTTATCAGCCAATTTGTGATATTGGTATTGGGCCATTGACTAATTTGGATGATCGCCGCACAAGGCCATTAAAGGTAGAAATACTTCCTTTCAGGATTCTTTTACCCATTCTGATACTCAAACCTAAGATTTGTGGTTAAGAGGGAAAGAATTCTATCTATCCCACCATATTCTTTGGTGGTAAATGAAAAAGTTAAAATCAAGTGATACAGGGGCGAATGTAGCTTTTCGCCTACATATTCAATTAAACTCATAACTTTCGACATGTAGTAAGAATGTATATGTAAAAATCTACTAAAATTTTCAGATATTAGATTTGAATCCATAATTTTAACAGTGCAATGGGTGCAATGCTAAAAATCTTAAAAGCTGAACCCATTAAATTTAAATCCTAGATTCGCCTCCGAACTCAGCATCGGACTTCACCAATGTCATCTACTAGTTAGACCAGTTGCTAATATAAATCTCAGCATCACCCATGCCTACATTATGATTATTTGTCTAGTACCTTATCAACACAGTATCTTGAGATCAAAATGGCAAATATGCTTGTTTCAAGCTGGGCTAAGAACGTTGACACAATGCCTGAAAATTATGTAATGCCACCTGATAAAAGACCTGGTGAACTTGTCTCAATTGGTAGCAACATCCCAGTGATTGATCTAGCAAAATCATCCAATCATGCTGGTATAGTCCAAGAAATACTAAAAGCCAGTCAGGAATTTGGTTTATTTCAGGTTTGTAAGTCGATATGTACCAAATCATTCTTCTCTTATGCTAATGAATTGCTAATAACAACGTCCTGATTTCAATTACTGCCAAACATACAACAGGTTATAAACCATGGAATATCGGAGAAGCTGATGGATGATGTAATGGATTTATTTAAGGAGTTGTTCGACATGTCTGCTGAGGAGAAGGAAAACTTTTGCTCTAAGGTTTCAAATACGAGCTGCAAATTATATGGAAGTGGGATGAATTACGCTGACGAAGAGGTACATTATTGGAAAGATCTTCTCATACAGCCCGTGTTTCCCATTGAAGAACAGAGACAACCTTGGCTTGACAAGCCAGCTAGATACAGGTGTGTAACATGCCATGTCTATATTTGCTTTAACTTAATATGACAGAATTAGAATGCATTATTAGTTATAGCTAATCCAATGTACAAGGTTTGGTTATTTTAGCCTATGCACTTCGATAGACATGACACAGGTTTCAATAATCACAAGCCAATTAGGTACTCTCTCGTTTCATTTCACATGTCAATGTTTGACTAGACACAAGATTTAAAAACATATGACATGGCCGAAAGTACTCTTGCATCTTGTGATCATCTACAACATGCCATATCGATTGAGTAAAAAAAGTGTTGACATTTATAAACGTGTCATTCCTTTCGGAGTGGACCAAAATGTACTAAAGAGTATAATATAAAATGAAAGTAGTGAAAGAGTGAATTTCTATGTACAGGGATCTAGTTGAAACATATTCAGCAGAGATGAGGACTTTGAGCAAGAGGATCTTGGAACTGATGGGTGAAGGAGTGGGACTAGAAGAAGGGTATTTTGGGAAGGAGTTGAGTGAAAGACAGGCCCTGATTGTGAACCATTATCCCCCTTGTCCAGACCCAAGTTCAGCCATGGGTTCACCTCCTCATTGTGACCCTAACCTCTTAACTTTCCTTCAGCAAAAAGTTTATGGACTTCAGATCTTCAAAGATGGCCACTGGATTGGGGTTCATCCTCTTCCCTATGCATTTGTTGTCATCATTGGTTACCAGCTGCAGGTATATAACTATAAAGTGTACCATTACCCTCACTATTCTTTTGTGACAATAAGTACAAATTGACATGAGTATCTATACTTCATAATCATTTTCAACTATGTATACAATTCAAGTCGATCGTGATGTGCACCCCTGCCTTAAGGCTACATCCACCATTGTGCCAAATGAACTATTTTAATTACTGTATTTTAAGTTAGAAGTACTTGTAAGGTAATTAATAACTAACCTAGTAAAAGATGCAAGTTACCTAGGTTAAACTACACTGATAGTATATAACTTTGTTCCTTTAAATCTACTCATGCCTCGTCCCGTTTGATGTTTGCGAATTTAAATGCAGATTATCAGCAACAATAAGCTAGTAGCTGGCGAACACCGTGCAGTTACGAATTCAGAAAGTGGTCGGACTTCAATAGGGACTTTTGTTGCTCCTGCTGGAGATTGCATAGTGGAGCCAACAAAGGCTCTTGTCAATGGTGGCAGTCCTGCACTTTTTCGGGCTTTCAAATATCAGGAGTTTCTTGATGACTTTGTGGCCAAAAAGGATTCTCAGAAGACACTAGAGGCGTTCAAGATTAAACCTTAGTAATTGCTAAACAAATGGACATTATATTGCTTCAAGACTTGTCTAATGAAGTATTCTATTTCAGGCTTTTCGTGGACTAGAAATGTCCCCATATGCAATATGATGCTTAATAAATATTGGAACTACTCCCATGCAGTTTATGAAACTATATCCGTTTCTTTTATATTTAAAAATATAATTAACTTTCCCTTTCCCTTTTAATTTTAATATGAAGTTTCTATAGTCACATAAATATTTAGTATCACAAATTTCAATAATTTTTTTTTTAAACTACATAGGTGCTGCTTCAAACTATATCACATAAATATAAATAGGAAGAGTACGGAGGGAATAGTATCTTTTGAAAAAAAAGGATAATGCTTTCTCTTGAAACTTTTGAATGGAAATCGAGTTTTAGCGATTGCTTAGTTAAGCCTTTTCTTTTTGTGGTTTCTTGTTCTACGATATTTCTGGTATTCCCTACTCTGTTGAGGGTATTTGAAGGTTTCAAGAATACTATGAATCTGAAGGAGATAGAGAATGTTTCCCTCTGTTCATTTGTTATTTTGCATTATATAGTCATACTTGTCTTGTGCACAAACAACCATATTGGACAGTTTAATGAACAACAACCATACTTGTTTTGTAACTTGGTTGATATAACAATCCTTCCATCTCCTTCACAATTTTCTTTTCAAACCATTACAATCGTTATTCCTTCCGGTGACAAGCGGAATAGCTATGTTCGGTGGCCATCCCCATTTTCCATTCCACGTGTCCTTCCTTTAAGCGGCCACGTGCCATGTCGTATTTTTTCCTATACAGAGAGTCCCCTGCTTTCCAGTGACACAATCTTGAGTTACCAGGAAGTTGGTAGAAAGCACCTTTTTGGCGGAAATTTCTATAACTCCCTTTGAAGTTTTCTGACAGTTGATTAGACGCACGTCTCTCCGCATTTAATGTCCCGAATATGCGTCATCCCACGATTCAGCATAATGTTTTGCCGATTTTTGAGGTAATCATGGCCATGAATTTAGCCCGCCAAAATTTTAGTTATACGCATCATCCTCCTCTTATTTACTTCATAATTTCTCAAACTTCTAACTTGCATCTTTATTTCCCAACTTTCCTCTGATCTTCTTCAAACCAGAAATTTTTCTTCCTTCTATTCCAATGGCCTCCTCTTCAAAACATGCTAGTTCTTCAAAGGGCAAGAACAAAACCGAGGATTTCGTTCCTCCAACAGCGGGTTCCATCATCCCAAGAAGGCTTAGTACTTTGAAGGATTTTGAAGAGAAATTTCCTACCGCTAATTCTCGTACATGAACTGTTAGTAGATATCCTTCTTCCATTTGCCCTTCGAGTATTCCTATTGTGTAGGACGACTGCCGGTGCCCTGAGTTAGATATTATTGCTCATGCTTTATTGGAGAGATTGACCCTTCCCAAGGAAAGTTTTACATATTTTTTCACGTATCCTTTACTTTGGGTGCGTTTTCTTTGAGCAAAGAGCTTGATTCTGTAATTATGGAGTTTTGCCTTCCCTATCAGGTGTGATTGGCACAGGTATGTCCTTCAGTGTGGGGGATGATTGCCTACCTTCAGCGTTTGTGCCAAGAAACTGGAGAGGAGCTAACCCTAACTCATATGATGAATCTCTATTGCCCCAAAATCTTTCGCGGGGGAATGATAAACCTTTGCAAGCGTGGCCACCATGCTTTACTGTCTAGCATGGATGACGACAACGACCGTGGGTAGATGGAATGGTTCATTGCAGTTCCACCAGTGACATTATTCCGACAACGACTTCATCCTTTCCGGTCGCTTGGAATTGCTTTCGTAAGTTCCCTTTAATAAACTTTTTCCTACTAAATATTCTTTCATGCTCGTATTGATCCTTCAACCTTCATTTGTTACAGCGACTCGATGGATCCCACCGGTGATAGAAGGCTTGAACCAGTGGGTTTAGAAGATCTTGGACATCACAACGCCCGACACTCATTTGTGGAAAGAATTCTCCCTTAAATACGGGTGGAAGGCCAAAATTCATGGTAATTTTGAATTACCTTGTTTCCATTTTTTTGTATATGAAGAACTTGGTTGAACCCTTCTGACTTGTTCATGAAATTAGATCTACTTGCGGGCTCAGTTGATGTTCCCAAGGAGGATGTTTTGGCTAACCCTGCTGATACGGCGAGGCTACTTCAGGAGACACTTACTCGAGTAGGCATCTCCGGGCCTGTTTCGGGCGCAAACGTTTCTTCACGGAGTCCCTGTCCAGAGAACAAGCAACCAAAGAAAAGACATTCCTCTGTGACCGAGGAAAGGAATAAGAGGGCAAAGGTTGATGCCCCCGAGTCATCTCCGGTGGAGATGGTGACTTGTCCTCCTTCTAGGTCGGTCATAGACACTGTGATGATCGATGATGATGAAGAAGCTAGTGATGAGGGAGATTCTTTACATAGAAGGATACGATCCTCATCATCTCAACAAGATGCTCGACCTGTTGAGACAATTGCACCAACTGACGATGACGTCTCAGCATTTTTGGGAGAATATGATTTAGTTGAATATGCTAACTCTCGCTTTCGGGCCCTAATTGCTATAACCGGTACCATGGGGCTGAGTACCGAGTACGTGCCGTCTTTGGTTGGCGAGCATCAAACAACCAGCACTGCATTTGATGCAGCTGCTTCTCACTCTTCAACTCCATCAGCTTTATCTCCACCTTCACCACCACCAACAACTGCTATATCATGTCCATCTTCAGCCACTCTTCCAACAGTGGTTGCTACATCATCTCCATCGACCGCACCTGACCATGAAGAACGTGTCCCTCCTCCACAGTCCCCAGTTCATGGGAATTTGGGGCAAAATTATGCTGCCTCTTCTGAAGATCCACAAAGGAGGAGAAGTGTTACCCTTTTGGTCTCCTCAGGGTGCAACTTGCTTTCGAGGCCGATGGAGCTTGCTAACTATCTGAAGCCTTTGGCTTCAGAAAAAGACTGGGAGAAGATTCAAACACTCTCGGGGGAGTTGTTTGTTGAACAATGCTATACATAACGCCACAACGGTACGTTCCTTTCTTCTTTTGTTATTTCCTCTACTTTTGAGCAAATGTACTCTAAGTTTTACCTCTTCTTGTTTTGAATGCCAACTTTCTTACTTCTGAGGGCCTTCAAAGGATGATTCGTGAGAAGGAAGAACTTACTTCTGAATGGGATTAGCTTTTGGCGGAACGGACCAGACTGTTCTCTGCCTCTCAAAACTGGAAACCAAGGCTACCGAAGCTGTTGTTTTGGAGGCTCGTTTGCAGCAAAGCCAGCAAGAAGTGGTAACCCTTAGCCAAGAAATTGGGCCGCTGAGGGTTAGATTTGACGAGGCAAAGGCTAAATGGCAGAAATCCAGAACGCCATTCTTGCTGCAACCGATCGTGAGGCTGCCTCCGCTGAAAGAGTGATTAACTTGGAGGCAACCTTAAACTCCAAAAGTGAAGAGCTTGTTGCTGTGGTGGCGAAACATGCCCAGCTAGAAGAGAAGTACAGGAAAACTATCGAGCATAATAGGCTCTTTAGTTCAACTGTCTGTGTGCTCGACGTCAGTCTCAAATCTGCTAGGTCCGCCCGAAAAAACCTTTCCTCCGAATTTACTTAACTCAAAGAAGAACTCAAGCGTCGAGCGGTTTCCCTCATTGCAGAAAAAAACTTATTCTATGTAGAGCATGAGGAGAAAAACCTTGGAAGAGGCCAAGACTGGTATCATTGACATTGATGTCGAAATTGCTAAGGCCCGAGAGCTTGAGTTGGCTACAAAAAATGGACTCCCATCGTAGTCTGATGCTCCAGGTTCTTCTGATTACGGTTCCGAGTTTTCGGAAACTGAAGAAGGATCGGAAGGCGATGATGCCGAAAACCAAGCTGGGAAAAATATTGAGCCATCGGTGGAACCATCTACCACTCCTGGGGATGCGGATTCTTCTCTTCCTCATGATTCCGGAGATGCTGCATTTTAGCTTTTTCTTTCATTTTCTATTTTGTACCTTTATTATTTTGACGCGTCCTTGTAAATAAAAGCATATTTCTTGCTCAAGTATCGTTTGAGTCTTACTTTCGTTTGAATGTTCATGCAAGTCTTTAACTTTCGTGCTTGCTCAAGTATTCTGCGCATGCTGTTCTATTCACGCTTTATTATTTGTAATCTCGAATTCCTTTCCTTCGAGGCATTTTGGTTCCGAGTATTATCTTTTTTTCGTGAGGGTTTCCATGAGTATTTGCGCAAATTTGCTTTTTGAGTCTTTTTCGTATGCAGCTTCGAGTGTATTTTTTCCCGATGGCATTCTAGGTTCCAGGCATTGATTCTTCCGGAACTAACCATTTAACGTGAGTGTTTCTATAAGAGAGGGCCCTCTTATGTTTACGGTGCTCTTGAAGAGGACGTATCCTGTTCATTATGGTACTAACATTTGAAGTACTTGTTTAACTTTCAAATTGCAAAATCAACTCATCGTTCGGACAAGAAACAAGATAAAAACAAAAAGGATTTATTTCATCTAATTCCTTATATTTTCAAAAGTACCTAAGCATTTTGCTATGTAGAAAAGAAATTGCCATGACTTGTGGCTATCTTGTAGAACTTGTTTCTACGGGGCTGGTCGTGCAGTCCCTAGTCCCGATGATGTATTATGTTCCCGGATTTCATTCCCTGGTTGACGTGGCATTCAGTTTTGCCGTATTCTCTTATCATCCCCCAGTGTTCGAATGCGAAGAATGCGAATTGGAACACTGGAAGTCCTGTATCTTCGAAGAACCCACCAATGAATTGCTAGGTAATCCTTTACTAGGAAACATATCTTGTTTCCCTTTAGGAACCCATGCTATCGAGCGAAAGAATACCTAACAGTCCTTTAGTGGTATGTGCTCGTGAACGGTCAGGTAACCTCCATTCGGTAGGAAACTTAGCTTCCCGGTGGGAATTTGCTATCGAAGCAAAGATTATCTAATCGTCCCCGAGTGGAAACTTGTTTGTATGACTTGTTATGAAAAGTCTTATCACTACTGTCTTTGTAGTATGCTTTCCGTCACTGCCTCATTAAAATCCTTGCCAAAAAAATCCAATTGGGACAAAAACTGAACGAAGGGAAAAAGAGTGCAGCACATACTTTCCGTTTGACTGTTGTTTGTCAGCAGTAATATCTTTTGAGGTGAGCCACGTTCTAGTCGTTGGGCAACTTTTCTCTGTTCTGGTTCTCCAACTCGTATGATCCTTTCCCAGTGATAGCTGAAACCCGGTAAGGGCCTTCCCATGTTGGGCCTAACTTACCCGCGTTAAGTTCCCAGGTGTTTTGAGTTACCTTCCTCAAGACCAAGTTTCCTACTTTGAAATAACAGAGGTTGGCTCTTTGATTATTATATCGCTCCATTCTTTGCTTTTTAGCCACCATTATGACATGGGCCAAGTCCCTGCGTTCCTTGAGAAGCTCCAAGTTAATTAGCATTGCTTCGTTGTTCGATTCTTCGTTCACCTGGAAATACCTTAAGGCTGGTTCCCCTACTTCCACCGGTACTGTACACAAGGGGAAAAAAGGGTTTCTCCCGTGCTTGACTTGGCGGTTGTTCATTAGGCCCATAAAACCCCAGGTAATTCTTCGAGACAATTGCCTTTTGATGCTTCCAACCTTTTCTTTAGATTTTGTATAATTACTTTGTTCGTTGACTCTGCTTAGCCATTCGCGCTCGGATGATAAGGTGAAGAGGTAATCCTCTTTATATTCAAATCTTCAAGTAACTTTGTAATTTTTGCGCCGATAAACTACGACCCATTGTTGCATGCAATCTCTTTTGGTATTCCAAACCTGCAAATCATGGTTTCCCATAAGAAGTAGACCACTTTGCGTTCTCCGATCTTCTGATAAGGACCTGCTTCCATCCATTTAGAAAAATAGTCAGTCAAAATTATAAAAAACCTTACCTTTTCGGGAGCCGGTGGTAATGGTACGATGATGTCCATCCCCCATTTCATGAACGGCCAAAGGGATAGAACCGAATGTAGGCGTTACGCCTGTTGATGTACTAGTGGTGCGTAGAGTTGGCACTTATCACATGTTCGTACGAAGTCTTTGGCATCTTCTTCCATACGGGGCCGGTAATATCTTGCCCGAACTAATTTCAGCACCAAAGAAACTGCACCTGAGTGGTTGCCACATATCCCTTCGTGGACTTCTCTCATGACATAGTTAGCTTCTGATGCTCCTAAGCACCAGGCCAACTGGCCTTGAAAGGATTTTTTGTACAATTGGCCTTTCTTGAAGCTATAACGTGCGGCTTTGGCGCGTAACGCTCTTGATGCTTTGGGGTCTTCGGGAAACTTTCCATGCCCGAGATAATCGATTATTTCGTTTCTCCAGTCCCAAGCAAAACTAGTCAAATTCACCTCATAATAACCATCTGTGTCCAAGACTAAGTTCATCATTTGTACTACCATTCCTAATTCTGATCCCTGGACTTCTATCGAAGAGCCCAAATTTGCCAATGCATATGCTTCCGCGTTATCTTCCCTCGGGATATGAGTAATTGACCACTCTCGGAATCATGCCAATAAAGCTGGAACTTTTACTACGTATTGCTGCATATGTTCTTCCTTGCTGTCAAAATTTCTATAGACCTGATTCACCACCAACTGCGAATCACATTTGATTTCGATGACTTCAGAGTCAAGTCCCAGGGCCAATTCGAGCCCTGCAATGAAAGCTTCGTACTCTGCTTTATTATTAGTTAAATGTATCGATCTGATGGCTTCCCTTAAAGTTCCCCCGAAGGCGTGATCAAGACTATTCCAAGCCCGGATCCTTTTACGTTTGAAGCTTCGTCCGTAAATAAGGTCTAAACTCCCGATGTTGGTTCTGACACCATTATTGCCTCCTTGGTTGCTAGAGGCAATAGTCCCGAACTGAAATCGTCCACGAAGTCAGCCAATACTTGCGACTTAATTGTAGTCCTCAGTTTATATTCTATATCAAACTTGCTCATTTCGACGGCCCATTTACGAATCTACCCAAGAGATCGCGTATATAGAGGATATTCCCTAGAGGGAAAGTAGTCACCACATCTATCAGGTGGCATTGGAAGTAGGGCCTCAGCTTTCGAGCGGCGACTACGAGAGCTAAGACCAGCTTTTCCAGATGTGGGTAGCGAGTTTCTTCTCCCGTTAAAATTTAACTAAATTAATAAATGGGAGATTGCGTACCTTCGTCCTCCCGGATTAAAACTGCACTTACCGTAACTTTTGAAAGCGCGAGGTAGAGTAGCAATGTTTCACTTTCTTTTGGTTTTGAGAACAACGGAGGGCTTGGCAAATATTTTATCAACTCCTTCAAGGCTTGCTGGCACTCAGGTGTCCATTCGAAATTGTTTTCTTTTTGAGTAGTGTAAAAAAGTGATGATATTTTTCCGATGAACGGGAAATGAACCTGCTCAAAGCTGCCAATCTCCCTGTGAGCCTCTTGACTTCTTTTACGTTGGACAATTGATCCGGGATGTACTCCATGGCCTTGATTTTGTCGGGATTTACCTCAATTCCCCTTTATGAGACTAGGAACTTACCTGAACTCACCCCGAAAGCACACTTCTTGGGGTTAAGTTTCATATTATGCTCCCTCAGGATGTCAAATGTCTCTTGCAAATGCTTCAGGTGATCACCTGCATTTAAAGATTTAACAAGCATATCATCTATATATACTTCCATAGTCTTTCCAATTTGTTTTTTGAACATCATATTCACGAGTCGTTGATAAGTGGCTCCGATGTTTTTTTAACCCGAAGGGCATCACATTGTAACAATATGTACCAAAATTCATTATAAATGAAGTTTTTTCCTGGTCTTCTGGGTTCATCTTGATTTTATTGTACCCATAATAAGTATCGAGGAAACTCATTAACTCGTGCCCGGCCGTGGCATTAATCATTTGATCGATATTTGGAAATGGGAATGTGTAACGACCCGACTTGTCATTTTAAGAATTTACGTCCCGTTCAACGACTTAAGGTCTTGAGCAGCTTTGTAATATGTATTATGACCCACGTGTGTGGTCGAGTTTGGTTTTCAGAAGATTCGGAATTAAATTGAAAGAACAATTCTCATTTTTGAAGCTTAAATGGAAAGAGTTGACTTTTGAGAAAATGGCTCCGGAATGGAATTTTGATGATGTCAATAGCTTCGTATGGTGATTACGGACTTAAGCGTACGCCCAGATTTTGATTTGGAAGTCCGTAGGACAATTCGACGCATTTTGGCGAAAGTTGGAAAATATAAGATTTTTGGAAAGTTTGGCCAAAGTTTGAATTTTTTATAACGAAGTCGGATTTCGATTCCGGAAATTGGAACAACTCCATTACATCATTTATGAATTGTGTGCAAAATTTGAAATCATTCCGGATTAATTTGATACGTTTCGGCACAAAATATAGAAGTTGGAAGATTTGAAAACTCATAATTAGATTCGATGCGCGATTCGTAATTTTGGTGTTGTTTGGTTTGAAACCTCGACTAAGTTCGTATTATATTTTGGGACATGTTGGTATATTTGGTTGAGGTACCGAGGGCCTCGGGTGGATTTACGAAGGTTAACCGGGCAATTTGGACTTGAAGGAAGCTGCTGGAAAATGGCAGCAGCTGTTGGAATCGCACATGCGGAATATTGGGCGCATGTGCGATATCGCAGAAGCGTTACAATCATCACAGAAGCGATTGAAAGGGATCTGGGCAGTACTGGGCATCCATCGCAGAAGCGGAGCAGTGGAGCGCACCTGCGACATCGCAGGTGCGATGGTGGTAGCGCAAAAGCGAGCTCCATCGCAGAAGCGCAACACTGGACGCACCTGCGGTTGCGCAGAAGCGAGGCTAGTGTCCGCAGGTGCGAGCCTTCACCTGGGCATTGCACTTCGTAAAAGCGAGGATGATGTCGCAGAAGCGACTTAGCGAATGCGAAAATGCTGTCCGCAAATACGAAATATGGGCAAAACTTAAAGACCCAAAAATAGTCATTTTGTCATTTCGTTTTGGAATTTTTGGAGCTCGGTTCTTGGGCGATTTTGAAGTTTTATTCACGATTTCAACTCAAGTAAGTGTTCTATATCCTAAAGTGATTATATTTCATGAATCTATGGTTATATTCATCGTTTAATTCGGATTTAAATGGAAGAAATCAAGATTTATGCAAAATCTTCTAAAAACGAAAATTTAAGATTTGGAGGTCGAGTTGTTATTGTAATTTGATAAAATTAGTATGGTTGAACTCTTATTGGAATGGGGATTCGTATTTTGATGAAAATTAAGTCGGGTTCCGAGAGGCGGGCCACGCATTGACTTTGATTGAATTTTTAGAAAAAAAATTTAAGTCGATGTTTTATTATCCGGAATTATTTCTGATGAATTTTAATGAAGTTGTACAATTAATTTGGATAGATTTGAGCTGTCCGGAGGTCAATTTAAGCAAGAAGATGACTTTGGAATATCAGCATAACTTCAAAAGGTAAGTATCTTGCCTAACCTTTAGTGGGGGAATTACCCTTTAGGCATTGAGTCTTATGTGGAAATTGGGTGATTGGAAGCCGTGTACGCGAGGTGACGAGTACGTATTCGGGCTTATATGTGCAAATTTTATTGGTTTAAAGTTTTAAGCATTTGTATATATTAAATTGGATAATTGTTGGCATTTAGTAAATCCTTGAATTATCACGCCTCATTCCTTATTTGTCGAGTTTGTATTTTATATCATAATTTGGTGTTATTGTCACTTGGATTTTATGTGAATTCTGTGTGTTTTTTGATTTGATATTTTTCTTGGAATTAAATTCATGATGGAATCCTTATCTGCAAATATTTATTAAATAGGTTTAAATTGAGGACTTAATATAATTATCAACAATTTGGATTAATGAAGGTGTTGCCCTATACTGAGTATTTTTTTACCTCTGTTGATTATTTTGAGGTTTTATATACGTTGTATGAAGCCTTGGACTATTTGTTGAGAAATTTATTGATTCTGCTACATATTTGGAATTTGGTTGTGGTCAGTGGCAAATTATGATATGAATTGTTGTATTGTATTGTGGTTTAAACACTCTCCTTGATGTTATTTATTCTTCCTACCTTGCTTGATTAATGATATACATGTTCTTGGTAAGGACGAGTGTAAAGCACGAATGGTGATGTCGTGCCATTTGAATTGTATTATCACGTGAGGGAGAGTGTAAAACACGAAGGGTGTTGCCGTGCCATTTGAGAGTGTAAAGCACGAAGGGTGATGCCATGCCATTGAGAGAGTAAAGCACAAAGGGTGATGCCATGGCATTTAATTTATATTATCAGGTGAGGATGAGAGTAAAAGCACGAAGGGTGATGCCGTGCCATTATTTTTATATTATCATATATTCATGGCATGAAGTATGTTTCCGTGCAGGCGAGGACAAGAGACATACATTATATTGTGATATCGTTTTGTTGTGTATACATTCATGCCTTTATCTTGAGATGTTATTGTGCACATATGATTTTTATGTGACTTGTAGTCGTTGTTGCTTACTGTGTGCCTCTCACTTTATTTCTTTTATTGTTATTGACTTTTCTCCCACCTAGTTGATATTGTTATATGTATGCACGAAGGGTATTGCCGTGCCAATTTAATTGGTCTCTCTCTCTNTTATAATAAAGATGTATATTTTGAAGACCTTGATTAATTGGCTGTAGCTGTGTTTATTATTCGTTTGAGTAATATTTATGGTGTTCCTGTTGCCTTGCTATTTAAATCAATAGTTGATTGGTGTTGCTATCACTGCTATTTGTTTTCTATTATTTTTGTATGCTATATTACACAGGTTATTTGACTAGTGAGTCTCTTGACTGTACCTCGTCATTACTCCACTAAGGTTAGTCTTGATACTTACTGGGTATCGACTGTGGTGTACTCATACTACACTTCTGCACATTTTTGTGCAGAGCTAGGTATTGGAGATATTGGATTCGGACAGAGATTAGAGTATGATAGCAAGGATTCAAGGTAGGATTGCTTGATCGTCGCGGTCCCTTGGAGTTTTTCCATTTTATTGTACTGTTAATTTTTTATTCGAACAGTATTGTATATTAGACCCTTAAGATAATTCCATGTATTCAAATAGAGTTCGTGACTCAGTATTACCCGTCTTGGGAGGTTGTATTAAATTATATGTTTAAAAGTAAATGGCTTGAATTATGATTATAATCGGCTTACTTAGTCTTAGAGACTAAGTGTCATCACAACGCCTGTGGTGGGATTTTGGGTCGTGACAAGTTGGTATCAGAGCTCTAAGTTCATAGGTTCTACTAGTCACGAACGAGTCTACTAGAGTCTTGCGGATCGGTACGGAGACGTTTGTACTTATCTTCGAGAGGCTACAGAACTGTTAGAAAATTTCCACTTCTTTCATTCTTGTGGTGCGGAATTTGTT